AAGTACTTTAAACTGTATAAATAAGTTACCCGGCAATTGATTTACATCAGCCAATCAGACGAATGTCTGTCTATGAGAGGTACTTTTAAGAAAAACTTTAACGTTAAAATATTTATGCTCAATTAAACTACACACCTAATTTCTAATGAATGCATGAATTTTTTTTTTGTTTTGCGCACATTACAGCATCAGCATTAGCATTAGCATTAGCATCAGAATTAGCATCAGAATTAGCATTAGAATTAGCATTAGCATTAGCATTAGCATTAGCATTAGCATTAGCATTAGCATTAGCATTAGCATTAGCATTAGCGTTAGCATTAGCGTTAGCCATTTGCGTTAGCCATTTGCGTTAGTAAACTTAAATTGTCATACCATTTTTTATAAAAATAAAAATTTTCATTCAATTTAATAACCTAAACGGAAGAGGAGCATTTTAACGTTACTTTTATATAATAACAGTCAACTTTATATGGAGTATAAGAACATTTTCAATATATAACGATAATTACTGTAATAAGAACATATAGTAAACTTATACGTATAAGAACATTTGTCACAACCAGGTTCTTCTTATCCAGGTCAGCTTCTCGACGAGTCACGGATCAAAAATCGGCTAACCCGGGTTAAACGAGTCATTCATGGATATTATAACATGGATAAAATTCATGGATAATATAGATAAAATCTAGTGACTGGCGTATTACGAGAAATTTCGACGAAAAGTTCCGGTTCAAGTATTTGTTGTATATTAATATACTATAAATTTTACTCTAAACACTCGAAAGTAACTTACGTAACTATTAACTCAAGTAAGCTCTAAATAAGAGTCGCTACATCAACATGATGTAATTGTTAACTTTAAAATCTATGATTTTCCTAATGACCCATTAACCCGGATCATACCCAGGTCAATATCTGACCTGCCCGGGTAATAGCTCTAGTTCTTGTATTTAAATTGAATAATTTCGAATAGTTTTCGTAGTTTAAATTAATCAATGTCAAGATAAATTTTTTAGATATTTTTTAATACTAACGTACGTACGTACGTACGAAGGAACTTTGCAATTTTACAAAAGTTTAATTAATAATAATAATATGATTAAAGTATAATTTAAAACTAGCTGTTTCTAGTTCATTTTGAATTACTAAATGATGTTCGAGAAACCTCTAACAAAATCTGGAATGTAAGAACGTTTATAGAACGTTTATAGAATGTCTATAGAATGTTTATAGAAATGGCCAAATATATAAAAGAAATGTATTACCATAATAACATTAATAACCGAACTTGTAAAATTAACGTTAAGGATAATAAATTTTTCCTGGAGAAAGTTACGCAAAAGTAATTAACAATAAATAAATCAACAAATAAAAATGAATAATAAATACAGTAAAATGAGTAAAATGACAAATCATATATGAAAATCATATATAAAAATCAGGAAAATATACTTTTGCAAAGTTTTGACATTCATTACTAAACATGATTACATTATAAAAAAGATTCATGTCATTATCAGAGATGAAAAGATCTACATAAACTGTACCCCGAAACGCTTTAATCCTGTAAGGTACGTAACTACTTACATAAAAATAAAAGTACTTACGTAAAACCCGAAACACCGCGAAACATTATTAACATACTACGAAACAAACCCGAAACAAATTAAATTAATTTCAAAAAGTTTGCTCGTGCGGTTTGTTTCGCGTACTTAGTTGATCTTTTTCGTAACCAAGAAATTGCTTGTCAAAAATGGTTTAATTATGAACGCCTTAGCGATCACACGACGTTGGTAATTGTTAATCATCCAAATAATGCACGTGCTTATTTAATTTATGAAAAATTTAATGTACTGTGCGTACATACTGTTGTTAATTATCTACGCACCATTAATTTAATATGCACATATCGATATGTCGATATGTCGATACAGTAATGTTATTAAGCATAAATACTTTTTTTTTTATTGTCCACGTGCTTAAACAATGCTAATTAATTTGGACTTTGATTCGTAAATTTTTACCTTTTTACTAATATTATGTACATTAAAATGTTTAATAGACCTATAATTGGTTATCTATTAAAAATGACCGAACTCCGTGAATTAATGCATAAAGTAATTTGAATTATCTTTTATTTGGATGTTTGTTAGATAATGTTTTTTATTTAAATTTTTTCTTCAATTTATTCGTTGACTTATTCATCAAATTATTCGTCAAATTATATCGGTTAAAGTATTCGTTGCATCATCATCTTCATTATATTGTAGGGTAATTTTAAAACGAATAAGATGTCATCATTGTGGTCAAGCCAATCTGAGCAAATCGGACTTTCATTAATAATTTCTAAATAGCATATGGTGAAACTTCTTATGAAAGTACCGGAAATAACGGATTCACATGGATACTTTATATTTGTTAAGTTTTAAAAAAAATATAATTATTATAATTAATTATAATTATAATAATAATATTATAATAATATTATAATAATCTTATAATAATCTTATATTCTTATATTAATTTTACTTTTTTGAAGATGAAAAGTACTCTTGTAAACCACGAATCAGATGAGTAGATCTTAAATATCCTTTATGTAGGAACTCCTTGATGAATGAAAAGATTTTTAGCAAAGTTAAGCCGATACCTGGAGCGGCTACATGAAACATCTTCAAGCATACTTCGTTATTATAATGGAATGTGAATCCGTGATCATTAATAAGTCGAAACAAATAAAGAAAATCAATTCCTTCCAATTCTATGTTCTTGGACCTTCTAATGAATTGGCATTATAACGCGATATCTTTTTAATTATTGAAATTTTTTCAAAATTTTTAGGTATTATATAATTTACGCATTTTTATTTTTTTCGTGACTTTTTTTTCATTGTCGGCGACTTAATAACTAATATTGTGTCCGTTAAGGTTTGTTTTGATTATCCATTGTTCCCAAGAAATATAAATGGGTGACAAAGATTCGCGTTATTGTCCTATTTCGGAAATCGAGGAATATTATCGCTGACATGAAGATCATAATTACTTTTCACTGCATTCAACTTCTTGTATGGTAAAACTCATTACTAATTCATATACATGGCGGAGTCAATTTATTCGTGTAATGTTACACCACAATTTTTATCTCTGGTATTATAAAAATTTTGTTAAGTAAAAAATCTGAAAAGTGACGACCCGAAAACTTATATAAAGCCCATCGCGCTCTCTTTTTTTTTTCTTCATCCCCCCATTCATCCACCTTGTCATTAATCGAGAAAACCCAAATTTTCTCGGTGCTTCATAAAAAAGCCCTGAGGCGATGGACGATAATTCGTTATCCAGCTTTGCCCATCCGGATTCTGAACAAGAGCAGGACAAAGCTTCAGATATTCGTCCAGATGTGCTTGAAAACGTTGCTGAACCGATCGTTAACCTCCAACCGGAAAATTTAGAACAGTTAAAAGGAACCGATCCATCTGACGTTTCCGACGACTCATACCTCTTTGTTGAGGGTAGGAGATATTCGAAACACCCCTTACCAAATAATGACAAGGAGGCGGATCGCCTGCAAGCTGTACATTACTTCTTAAAGAACCTTTTTCAATCGAATTATACTGCTCCCATCCAAACCATTCTTAAAAACAACAACGCGCAAGTACTCGACGTTTGGTATGTTTTATTACTATTAATTCTTTTTTATCGATCGGTTTTTTTAACATTAATTTCTTTTTAAAGTTGTGGCTCGGCTGTTTGGGTCACGGAAATGGTAATTTTTATATTTATCATTAATGATTAATCATTAATCATTAATAATTAATAAAAATTTTTTTTTGATTTGTTTTCGTTTTAATTTTTGTTTCTTTTTTTTTCTAAACAAGGCTGCCGAATTTCCTTCGTCAACCTTCACTGGAACTAATCACTCGATGGTCTGGCCACGTGGTAATTTTTTTAATTATTTTATTTATCTTTTTTTTTATTTTTTATTAATATTTTACTTTCTTTTAAAGATGTTCCACCCAATTGCAACTTTTCCCCTGCAAATATCCTTGAAGGATTACCATTTCCAGTAAATTTCTTTTCTTTTTTTTTTATAATTCCATTTTTTGCTTTTTTGATTTTATTTTTTAACAAATTATGCTTTGTATTTAGGACGATTATTTCGATTATGTTCACTGTCGATGTGCTCTTGCAGGATTCAGCATTAATGATTGGATTACTAAAATCATTCCAGAAATAGTAAGGGTATCGAAACCTGCTGCTTTCTTTGAACATTGGGAGCTTGACGCTCATCATGTAAATTCTGGTCCTATCATGAAAAAAATTTCAAACGCAGGTATATAAAGTTTTTAATTATATTTTCTTTTTTTAAATGTTGACTAATCTCTGTATTTTTGTTTTCAATTTAGAAATATCACTCGGTACCTCTCTTGGTATTGACAGCTCTATGATTGATAAAATAGGTGATTCACTTCTAAGTAATAAATGTTTAACCAACATTAATCAACAACAAAAATACTGCCCTCTTGGTATTTGGGGTGGTGAATCAGGTAAAATGGTATGTATAATACTCATACTGTATATGTTTTATCTCATAATGCTTTATCACGTGAATTCATTTTTTTATTCCAATTTTTTATTTAGAATGTCGATATTTTTCGTGAAACATGTTTAGCGGCTCAATCGCAAATGGCTGAATTTATAAATATTACCTCCAATGAATTCGAAGACATGGTAAATGATTGTATAAAAGAGGCCGAAAATTTTCGTACATATTCGAAAATACATCTTATTTATGCTCAAAAGATTGATCCATCAATCACCGTATAAATTATTAACTCGTAAAATTATTCGTTAGAATTCTGTGTTAAAATTTTGTGTTATTATGTCGCGTCCTTCGTTTGTCGTACTTCTATCGTATTCTTATATCACCTCTCCTATATCGTATACTTTTATATCGAATCTCGTATATCGAATTTCTATTTTTTTTAAGTTTATTTTATGAATTAAGGTTCTAGGACAATTATGCATTTTTATTATTATAGTCATAACCGTTTTTTTTTTCTTTAAAAAGAGTGAGGAAAGCAAAAAAAGCAAAAGGATATGTATGAACTACTGTGAATATGTATAAGCAATTGGCAATCAATAAAAATTATACTCCCGTTTTTTTTTTACTGGCTAATATAACATCTAATATTTTTATTTTTTTTATTGATCGGGTTATATACCACAATATCAATATTATTGAAACATCATGACAATATCAATGAAATAATATCAATGAAATTATTTCTTTGATATTATTTCATTGATATTATATCATGGAATACTATACGCGTTAAACATCACACAACGCGTTTCTTAATACTTTATACGCGTCAAAATAATGATAAACAAAAAATGTTTATACGCATGTAACAGATATAGTTTTATACTATTTTTTTTTTTAATAATTTATATATATAACAATAACAGATAATGTACTGTAATATGCATTGCATAATAAATAAAAAATTATATACATATTGTAATTTAAAATTCATTTTAAAAAATGTTTTTTTTTTTTTTATCGTGAAACCTCCGATTATTTAACAAGCACATGAAAATCTTAGATCAAAGGATCAGATGGTATCAGATGGTATGATCTTTGTCGATTATTTATTTTATTTTACCGACTCTATAAATTCAATTTACGGATTATGAAATTTAATTAGTACGTATTATTTCTTAACTGGTGCGTAAGTGTTGTACATTCATTTGTAGGTTTATAGTATTAGTATCATATTAATTGATAGATTAATAACGTGATGTAAAAAAGCTTGGCATTTTTACATCACGTTATCAATCTATGACATATACTAATACTATAAACCTAAATGTAGTGATTGGACCCGGGTGGGTACCACCCGCGTGACCGAGTGGGTCAACTCACGAGTCATTACGAGTTAATCTATAGTAAGTATCTGATCCGACAAAAGTAGACGCTATTACAACTATTATCATAAATTCTGGATCATCTGAGAAAATTAGCCGAATGATTCTTTGGCTATTGACTTTGGTACGATTGACATAAAAGATGTGTTGTACGTCGAATGAGCAATATAATGATTTATGTAAGCACTGCAATAATTAGAATAACTGGAAATTGTGACTAGAATATATATGCTTTGAGATGTATTGCGAATTCAAACGGTTTTAATTTTAAATTGAATATGCACCAAATGGATTCGGTATTAAGTTGACAATTTGAATGAAATTAAAAACTTCGTTTCAACTTGAGTGTATTTAAAATCAACTTATGTTGATTCTAAATCTAGCAAGATATACAGCTTATGTTTATATTACATGTTCTGCAGATAAATTTTATTATTTTAATGTCGACACATTCAGAATATTTTGCCCAACACCTTTGGTGTGTTTAGAACTAAGAGAACTTGACAAGAAACGGTCCCGGATGTTAGCCGGGCACTCGACGGATGGACCACCCCACCCGTTGGGTGACCCGGGTGGTATTTTTTTAGACGGGTCCAAACATTATCTATAATATTACACTTATTCTGACATTGAACATTGATTAGTAATATTATTATAGAGCTGATTAGAAAGATTACAAATATGTTCATGTTAGAGAAGTGTCATTTATCAGCTGATTTTTGTAAATAGTAAAAATTTCCCCCTCCCTCAAATGATTATGATTATACAGTATATACATGTGATCTATTAGCATGATATTTTGGTACCCACTTCTCTGCTAAAAAAATCAGATGAAAAATGACACTTCTCTTATTTTAGTGGCAAGTTTAAAAGAGGAGGATAAGCGGATAATTTAAAAAAAATATTGGGTTGAGATTTTTATTACACAAAAAAAATACGGTCAAACCTCTCTATGATCACACACTTGGAATACAAAAAGTGTAATTGTAAAGAAATATGCCAATTGTAAAGGTTAAATTTATTATATTAAATAATAGTTTGTTTTTAAAAAAATAGATTTATAAAATAAACATGCTTATATAAAAGGTGACTATAGAGAGGTTTTATGTATAATATATATATATGTATATTAGATATATTTGTGTATATTTAGTAAATAATATTGTATATATATATTGGAGTTGAGCTAGATTTAAAATTAAAATAAAATTGCAAGAGAAATATTTTTATTAGTTATACAAAAATATTACTTTAGTATATTAAAGAGAGCACAAAATGTATAAACTATTGGTTTTTTTTTTTTTTTTTTATAAAATACTATACTGTATATAAATTTTTAAAATTTAAGCTATATTTTTAGTATTTAATACTCTTTAATTTTAATTTTAATTAGTTAAATAAAAGAATTTAATAAATTTTTTTATCTTTACAATTTCTATAAATTTAAATTTAAAACCCAACTTATTTAAAATAATTATATATAATTAACTAAAATATTTTTTTGAAAATTAAAAAAATTACTAATAGCTAATTAATATAACAAATTTACTACTATATAATTAATTTTACAATTTATATTATACGCAATTAAATTTTATATGCAGTATACTATACCTAATACTAAAAACTTTTATTGCTTATACAAATTAATATTATATACTGTATATATATTATAACTCTATAATAACTTATAAACATCATATTCGCGAATATTTGGAATTACTATTTAAAAAATTCTAAAGTCATTAATCATAGTTAACTTTTAATTCACTGGTCCGTTCTGGATGATTTTTACCATCAAAATGATCGTTTCAATGAGACAAGCCCAAAATTGTCATGGGATTCCAAAATCGTTAAGGATTTGTGTTACATCAGGTGTTTTAGGGTCTATTAAACCAATTCTAAAACACCCGATATGATGCAAATCTTAACGCCCATGATTGAATTTTGACAATTTCATTGAAATGTGAGTTTTGATGATTTTGGGCTTGTTAAAATCGTCTCATTGAAATGTGAATTAGATAGTAAAGTCATCTAAAATGGACCAGTGAATCAGAAGTTATCTATAGTTAATGACTTTGGAATTATTGCGGTTTTGTATGATTTACTATGTCCCATAACGTGATTTTCAAGGCAAAGACCCATATATTAACTAGAAAATATTACTTTTAAACTACTAAATTGTTAGATATATATTTAGTTTACTAGACTGTTTGGTTTATTTTATAAATTTTAAATAACTAAATATATAGTTTAGTTATTCCAATTTAGCTTAATTAGTTCTGTTATAGTTTAGCAATAAATATATTGGTATTTATCCCTTAAATTGTAACACAGGCAAATTTGCCTGCAAAGATTTTTACTAATTTTTTTAATATTTAAATTTTT